TATTTACACTTTAATGCTTCTGCTGTTGGGTTTCTGGTTAAATCAATGTTGGTAACACAAATGTAAATGCACACACACACACACACACACACGTGTGCATTCCCATTGCCACACACACACTGGTAGGGTCTGGTGATATGAAGACGTAAAGCTTGAGATCAGAGATCTTTGTCAACCAGTAGAGTTTCTTCTCTTTTCATACTGAGGAAGTCGTTCTCTGGTTCTCTGCTTGGGTTCCATCACTGGGGGAAACGCTGCAAATCACTCGGCAGCATCCAGAAACACGCTGCGGGAACCGGACGCCCGGAGTCTCCCGTAGGTGTCGGTGTCATGGTTTCCTATCTGTGTCTCTGCTGCTGGTAAACTGGACTCCAGCTCTCTCCCAGTGTGGACTGGGATTGACTCCAGTCCCCCTCCACTCTCAGCAGGAGGACACACATTTATTTTACACTTGTGTAAATAGTTTGTTTGTATATTTCATTTTTTTTCTAGCAGCAGGTCAAAGTAAAGAATCATTTATGTCTCTGCGTGTTTTCTTCAATAATCAAGAGGATGTTTATTGTTTTGATCTGATTTGAAACATTATTTTATGTAAATGAAGGCTTCTAGTTTCTAAAGGGCAGTGAGATGTTTGAAGCTTCTCAGCTGATAGAAATCTTCTTCAATAGATTTCCTGATAGTATTTTGGGACGAGGAAGGGTGTTGGCTTTACAATGAATGCTAATGAAGTGGCTCTATTTCATTCCTTTTCTACTTTTCAATAAAGTGCCCAAAACTCCAAATGTCTGTGTCTCTCTGTGATTCAGCAGATATGCTTATGCTTATTAACACGACATATTCTTTGTGACTAAACCTTTTAAAAGCAGAAGTGCACACAGGTATGATACTAATAAAGTTCCTCATCTAGCATGCATATAACCTGATTTATGATGCTGAAATAAGGACATTGTGTGTTTGTAGACATTGAGCAGTAATGTGTAATATCACTTTTATTCTTGTTTTCTGTTCAGTAAGACTTAAATGTCTCTTTTTAAGATCCACACATATAATAACTGTTTTTATGTAGCAGCCCTATGAATATTATATTCACTGTTCTCATAGAGCACTAGTGAACGTGACCCCCACCTGTAGATGTTAGATGATGAAGAGGGAAAGGTAGGGGAACCACATCCAGTAGAAACATCAGTGTATTCACAGAAACGCAGCTCACTTCAATCATCACGTCTCATCAGTTACTAACGTGGAGTTTAGCTTTAATATCTGTTTGAAAGAAACATAATCAATGGACAGATGTGATGAATATTTTGGATTTGACCACCACAGACGTTATCAAGTGTTTATGAACCCAACGGATGACTTTGACTATAATTTAATTTGCTTTGAATTCTGAGGAAATTCTTTCTTTTGCTACTTAAAAAATAATCCAGAGAGAATTGTCTTGAAGGATTCAGAGAGAGAACGTCATTTAAAGGAGGAAGAATGTAACAAGTAATGAGATGAAGACATGCTTTTACTTGATGGTTTAAATGTAATATTCTGAAGATATGGTTGAGCATAAAACACTGGTTATGACAACTATTATACTTAACCCCGTTAACCCCACTTCCCCAGCAATGACTTTCTTATTTTTTTCTAAGTGTCTTTTGAACCTGCAAACCTAACCTTCTCCACAGGAGGGCGCCAAGACACCACTATTGAGCTCCAGAGGGGAGACAGCGGGTCCTTGCTGCAAATCTGTCCGCCTGTAAGAGCCTCAAAAGCGGACAGAACTCACCACACACAGCCTGGATGAATTTACTTTTTCCAATATATTTCTAAGTATTTTTTAAAAAAAATGTCGTGCCCCTGGTTCATTATTTAATGAGAAGGTAAACTAGTTTGAGCTCTGATCTGAACAGCTCGTGTCTCTGCAGTGAATGGGGCCTGTCAGCTCCTGCACTTCACCACCATGTTGGTTACAGCAGTCTGTAAACTGTAGATCTGAAGGGGAGGGAACAAGGAAACACAGACAGAGAGGAGTTCTCTGTGTGTGAGAGCAGGAGGAGGAGGGAGGAGTTACCAAGCTTTGGTTCATTCCAGGAAGAGGAGCAGTTTGAGAGAGAGACTGTGTTTAACACGTAATAGAACACAATAGAGTTAATTTCTCTGTTATAAACACAGGTTACTTCAACTCCTAGGAGGTGATCTCTGCTTAGAATGATGGGGTTTGGAGACAGCTCCACAGTTATTAGAATGATCTCTTCTTTCCTAAAATACAGTTTGATTAATGTTTTTAATGATTACAATAATTCAAATATGGCAGAAGAATAATATAAAAAGGAACCACTGCTGTACAAGTGATTCAATTCCAAAGTAACTTATAGTTATTTGATGAAATTCCTTTTACTTGCTTTTTAAGAAAACAGGTCAAATCCAGAATATAAGATGTATTTTAATGTTAAATGCATTTAAACAAATAACGGCTCTGCAGTTCAGTCGGAGACTGTAATGACTGCATGAATATGGAACATTTCCTCTTTTGTCACAATTAATTAACTTCATGGTTCTTATCACACCAGTAAAACAACCCCGAACACATTGTAGTGAAGATGAACGGAGTTCCCTCAGAATAAACCAGAACACTATTAAAAACAATAGGAGGTTATTGGCCTTTAAGTGAAGGCAGAGTGTCGCCTCAATAAACACAAACCTGTTAATAACCTGCTGTGATGTTCACTGCAGGAAGACGTGTAAGAACGTCACCGAGTCAGTAAAGAGACAGGAGAGGAATACATCAATATAATATATATCCTATATCTGAATATGACATGTATATGAATCATATGATATATACGATATATAATACGTCTATATATACTGTATATATATATAATACGTCTACATATATATATTATATATCCTGATATATGAATATCTATATGGAATAGCTTTAAGGTTAGACAGCTTATGCTGGAACTGTGTTTATACCTTTGAATGGAGGATGAATCACACCTAAAGGTCACATGTTTAGCATGAAGCTAATTGTCTAAGGATCCCAAATGAGCTAGTTTGTTAAAGTTGCAGCTATAGAAGGGCTGATTGGTTCGGACGATCCAACAATTCTATGAACCACGAGACAGAAGACAGCGTCTGAAATCACTCCCCGTTTACTGTACGAGTGCTTTGTTCGCGGCGGACCGATTGCTTTGGCGTCCGGGCGTCGCCGCTTGCGCCATTGTCCACCACCGCTGCACCAAATGCAGCTCTGCACGTCCGTAGGTCCCCAGCAATACACCTGCCAACCGCGAAGATATATACGCAAAGGACACACAGACATGCTTTGTAGTTAAATAGTGCGTCGTATTAACCGTACGCCATTTCATCTGACCGTCTGAATTCAGAATGTACGCATTAACAACACTACTTTCTGCTCACAATCCCAGAATTAAAATTTTTAATTTCATTTTTTATTTCATCAGAATGCAAGGCGCCAGATTTGAGAGATGCAAAATGTTACGCTACACCTGTAAGTAACGACGGGAAAATAATTCTGATTAAGTTCTCACTGCGAGTGAAACATGGGTGGACAAGGGAGTGATTTCGTGGCTGCTCTTAAGTGTCTCAAGAGGCCTCAGCAGTCGGACTCGGACATCCTCTCGGGCCGAGCCGACTGACAGGTGCCGGGCGGGGTGAAGACGTCGGGGTCGCTGATGCCCAGCTGGAGGTTGAAGAAGCGGGTGGAGGTGGTGACGCTGCTGTTCTTGGCGTAGGTCTCCTGCACCGGGTAGCAGTCCTTCAGGGTGTAAACGCCCACCCAGGTCTCATCTGGTGGAGAGACAAAGCAGACGAGGACGTTTTTAAATTCCACCCAAAACAGCTGCTGAAGGAAGGAAACTCTGCTGGAAGGGTTTACTGTTATTGTGAAGCAGCTGCAGGAAGTGTTGAATCTGAAGTAACACTGGCTTAAAGGTGTTCACTGGAGCTCAAAACCCACCGGCAGGATTGAAAAGCATGTTTTCTTTAAACAATCTCCAAAACTACATTTTCTTTACTGTCAGATTGTCATCTTTCCCACGGTGCTTGAGAACGCTTCCGTCAGGAAAAGAAACTAAAACGAAGCTTAAAGTTGTGATATTTCATCAAAAATGTTTTTT